CCCTTTGATAGGAAATAAAGGAGAACCAGATGGAGCTGTTTACTGACTCCATAGAAATTAAAATTAAGACCTTTATGACCAAAAATGTGCTTGACTATCAATGGTTTTATAAATAATTCCCAAACATCGAAACAATAGAGTGGCACACCTTTTCCAAACCTGCCTACTGAAAGAAGTGAGCGCCCTCTGTTGGCCGTGACTGACACTGTGTTTCTGTTCCTGAGTGTGAATGGTTCACAAGGGACTGACAAAAGAGAATGGGTTGCCTTAGCAACTGCAGATAGTGAAAGTGCAAGCTCTTGAGCATGACCCTATACAGATATGTTTAATTGTGTAATGCCTGCTCTCATCCCCCGGAAAGAATAAAAGAGGCACAGGATGAAAGCCAGAGAGAATTTGTGAAACCCTTAGATGAATACGATATTATAGTTTACCTTTGTAGCATTAGTATGTACTAAAACATTTAAAAAAAACTAGATATACATCTAATAAGGTCTATTTTTCATTAGGTTGATACTTGGTTGGATCTGTATGTAGACTACAAATAAATGTGAAATGTATTCCCATTTATGTATGTAAAATCAATGACTAGAATACATTTGCAGTGAGTTTGTAAGCACATCTTTTCTGCATGTTTTTTTACTTAACCAAACAGAAACGTATGCCATTTTTTAAAGCACATTTTCTCTTATTGTTACTGGAGTTTAATTATGTTTACCTATGTTAATGATGCATATTTACCGCTTGCCCACGTCCACCTAATTAAAAAATATGTGCGTTCACTGTAATATACAAGAATATGTACGCAGCACACAGGGGAGGAGGACAATTATGTGAACACCTGTAGAGCTTAATGACATCCAATACAGTATGTGTTTGGAACATAGAGTTAACCTCCTGTATGTCCATGTGTATGCTGCTAATGGTATGATTACTGACTCTATCTGATTACTGATGTCTACAAATATTTATCATTTGTAATAAATGAATAAAATATATCTACATATACATATGTCTTTTGAAAATATCTGGTAAAGGAGTTCTGTTTAACGTTTGGGGGACATGTAAAGACCGGGGGTCTGGAACTTTTGAGCCTCAGACCTTTAATTTCATGCATTCTTGTGGATATATTGTGTGTATATATTGGATATGCTCTACCCTCCTTGTGTCTTTTATTATTTACATCAATGATAAATTATTAGATTGTCTCTGGCAAGGTTGGCACTATTAAGAGAAAAATAACATTACAAGAACAAAGTCATTATTAAATGAGAATAAAATAAATGTTAAATCAATTGACCAGAAATTGAAAGACAACATAAGTTATTGTACTATAATATATACTATAATATTACACTTTTGCAGAATAATAGATGTTTTTATATGAAAAGATCATTTGTCATTTTGACACTGAACCGTTTATAGGGTGGGATTTGTTTTAATGAAGGTTTGAGATGTTGTGCGAGAAAATAATATCCCCTTCAAACGTCAGTATCTGTTGGGAGAAACTTAAGAGGTAATATACGTAAACTAGAGAATGCAATTCCTGAAGAAATTGCTAGTGGGAATGCTTTATGCTGAAAAGCTGACGCTAAACTGCTATGCTGAAATGTAATGTGTAAGAAGAAAGTGAAGAATTTAGATTGAAATGATACATGAACACTGGGGGCTTGAATGTGTGATGAGAGAAGAAAAGAAAGTAAAAAGGCTTGGAAAAGCAGCAGAATATTTGAACTGCAAACTTTTGAACTAACTTGATGGTGAATGATCTGTCACCATGGCAACGGCATTTGATGACACCACATAATACGCTTAGATGCGTTGATGGCTGCATCGTTACCAAACCTGTGAAGTTTTGGGCCGTTTGGAAAATTTCACTGAAGTTATGAGAAAAAACCGTGTTTCAATGGCGAGCATTGTGTTGCCATGGCAACGGCTGGACTGTTAGCACACATGTGAATTTTGAGAGAGAGAGAGAGAGAGAGAGAGAGAGAGAGAGAGAGAGAGAGAGAGAGAGAAGAGAGAGGAGAGAGAGAGAGAGAGAGACTGTGTGTGAGAGAGTGTGTGTCTGTGTGTTTGTGAGAGAGAGAGAGAGAGAGAGAGAGAGAGAGATAGAGAGAGAGAGAGAGAGAGAGAGAGAGAGAGAGAGAGAGAGATGAACAGTTAGAACTGACTGCTGTCAGTTGGAGTGATGACATCATCGTGTTCCATTACACAGGTGTTTATAGTTGAGCTAACGAGCTCTGTTGAGATCAAAGGTTTGCATTGTTCTGAATGAGAGATAAACCTCTTACATGTGAACGTTTTGTGGAAGAACCATAACAGATATCTGTGAAATTTCAAAACGTGAAGCATGTCAAGGAAGTTGAGTATCTGAAGTGTAATTTTTGTGTACTTTCGGGTTAATAATGTGGCCTTTTTGGCAGTTTAACTAAAGGTGTGCGGCTGCTGCTGTGAGGAAATATCAGCCTGAAATTACAATGGGTTTAATGGAGACATGTTGAAAGTTGTTGTCACTTCATGCCCTCAAGAGGCATTTTGTTTAATTATTTTTGCTTAATTATTTGTCATTTTTCAAGCTACGAGATGTTTTCCTATGTTTCTCATGAAAAATTATGTCTCAAGAATGTAGGGTTTGGGAATTATGGCAGTTTTAAAAAACAATATGAAGGCAAATTTCAAGATTTCCTACCCTCTAGCTGTGACATCACGCACTCTAGTTAATGTTAAAATCTGAAGAAAGCCTCTTTACCAAGGTCTGAACAATGTTTAATATCTCTAAAAGTAAGAATCAGATTTAAAAGTTGTGTTACACGAATAATGTCAGAAAGATGTGTAACATTTTAAAGTTGGAATGAGGTTTCTGAGTGAAAGTATGAATGAACAGTTAGCAGTTGAAGTCGCATGAAGATTGTTCAAGTCTGAAGATTTTCTCCATTGACTTCAATGTTTAAAAATGTGATGAATTATGGGATGTATCTCTTGAATTATGAAAGTTATGAATGATAAAAGTAATAGCCATCGATTCCCGACCGAGCTGAACGTTTTGATGTTTGAACGGAGTTTCTGCGATGTTGAATGCAGGAGGAGAAGAGGTGCAAAATTCAGGCGGAATAATAATAATTTTGTCCATAGAATAACATATAGTTGGAATGCTGTATCAGCATTCCCACTAAATAAGATGAGAAAAAATAGTATTGATCCCTGGTGGAAAAATGTGATTGTTGCAGCAGTAAAAGTATTGGAACTTCAGTAGATAAAAAACAAATAAGACTATGAAATAAGCAATCAAATGACATAAAACGATATCAGTAATGAAGCTACCAGTAGAATACAGTAAACAATTCATTTCAGAAATGATTATGCAGACAATTTGAAGGTGCATTTAAATTGGACTATAGAGCATTTTGATTTTAATGGATAGCTGGGTTTCAGACACAGTTTTCGCATTTGGATTTTAATAATAGTGCTGGTCAGCATCATGCCCCCCTCTAAATCTCTGATGATACTCCCAAAAAACAATTTGATTGACACTGAGGAGTTTTGATCTACTTCTATGCATGAGCTGTCAATACTGACTAAGTTTAGCGTGCATCGACATACTTGTGACAAAGCTTTTCCTTAGTCCTTAAGAAATATTTTTCTGCCAAACTTCACTTTGGTTCTTGGCACTAAGCCAGTTTGTTTTTTGCCAGTGGTTATTTGTCTGACAGCCAAGATATCCAGAGCATAAAAATACTATTTTGATATTCTTTTTAATGTGTGTTTGTGAGTGTGTGAAAGGGACACGGAGAGAACATTTTCCTGGCAGCAGCTCCACAATTTCTCTGCAGTTACCCTCTAATACTAAAGCTATTCAGTGTAGTCACTGTAGCTTGTAAGTGAGTAGGCAATGCTTAGATTTAAAAGGAGAGACAGATGTTATTGTAAAAATCAAATGATGTAAGCCAACTTGTGAAACTGTTAACTATGCAAATACAATTTAAAGTGCTTTTGTCATTATCTAAATACAATTCTAATTGTGTTGAATGTTGCTTTCCAAAATATACATGAATATTTAGTTGTGTTTCAGAGGCCAAAGATTAATTATATTCTACTTAACTTTACAGTTATAAAAACACGTTTGAAACAACACAACAAATGTACTATTTGAAAGGTTTGCTTGAAAAAATATGTATCTGCACTTAGCTAGAAACTTTTACCAGAGACTACTGTATAGTCCAACGGATTGGCAGTCAGCAAAGCCTCAGTTTTTCTTCCAACAGACTGTTGACTCAAAAAACTCCCCATACTTGTGTTGTAAAATAGAAAACTAGAGAGCATGTATGTTCCTTATAGATTATTCCGCTTATTATTTTCTCAATAATTAATTTAATTTCCAAATAAATCCAATCAATTTGAAACCTTAAGCCAAATATAATCATTGATAAATGATGGTACATCATGAAGAATGTGGTGATCTCTGTATGCTGTTGTAATTTGTTTGTCTGTGCTGAGATTTTGTAAGGCTGCTACTTTTTGATCTCAATTGGATTTCCTGGCATAAAGGTTTTTTAAAAATAAAATTATAAATGATTGTTTCAGGTCTTAATTATATGACAAAAGCGAACTCGTCTTTAAGCTAAGTTGCGAACCATTTGATTAATATTATAAAATCAGTTTCGAGGCTCATGCTGGCGCTGTCCATTACCTGCAGTGCTGAAACGTATTAATCAAACCAACATTAATCAACATCATGTACTTTTAACGGGACACTACATGGACGATATATGTTATTCTTCAAGCTCAGTTGGGCAATTTTACTTAATTGTATGAACCTCAAACAAGTGTCAGTGACAAGCTCGTTGGAGCCAAAAGTGCCAGTTTCCCCTCACCGGCTCGCTCCAGTCAGAGCGTGGTGTTGCCTTTCCCCCTCCTCTCTTTCCGTTGCTCCAATTCTTCAACGTCTGGTGCTTCGTTTTCTTACGTTCCCCGAGCTAATAAAGGGTACATTACGTTGTGGGCGTAACGGGCTCCTTGTAATGGCGACCGTGCCGTAGATGTGCCTAGGTTTGTGAAAATGAAGCGAAGAAGAAGTTATTTCTTTTAAGTGAAACGCCGAGGTTCCCGGAGGAGGACTTTGCGTCTACAACCATCGTCTCTATACGTGGTAAACTTAGCTGTACTTTTGAACTTTTGTTCGCTTTAACAATGATGAAGCTCAAGTCTAACCAAACCCGGACGTACGACGGGGATGGCTACAAGAAGCGGGCCGCCTGTCTGTGCTTCAGGGGCGAGACCGAGGAAGAGGTAAGTCCGGGGATGTGGCTGTATGGAGGGCCAAGCTAACATTAGCAGCATTAGCTGCTTACAGTAAATCTGTTCATTTACCAACACAGCTGTGGCTTTATGTCAGCTGGAAAAAATGACTTATTAGTTGTTGTACCTCTCGAATTGTCATTTTGCTGTTGTGTATTAAACACTTGTTTAAGCTCGTACTTACCGAAGTGTTATGTAAGACTATTTTGCTGTGCATACACCTACCCCGGGTTTTATACACAGCTAGTCCACCTGTTAGCTGTATGCTAATGCTAACGTTAGCTTGCTAACTAGCCGCGTTGCTACTGTGGGCAGCCGGCTCTCGGCCAGCGACCACAGCCCACAGTGATGAGTGGTGACTTTATCATTATGAGACTCAGCTGAATGTAAATCACTGCTTTCTAAAGTGACAAGCTAAGATATGTATATGCTACTGTCACACATGGTTTGTTGAGCTAAGTAACTGTTAGTGGTTACTGTGATAGCGTTAATGCAACTGGTATTGCTAGCCAAACATTGGACTGATATGTAGCTATTAGCTGTGCCAGTATAGCCACCGGTAGCAACACTCGGCTATCTTACATCACAGTGTTTTTCACGTTGTTGAATATATTTGAAATGCATATGTGGTGATATGTGGTTAGACCACTCTGCTTAATGACAAACTCGAAAACCTATTTCGGTGTATATCCACTGTTAATGTGCCGTGCGCTCTCTTCCACGAAAACCTCTCAAAGTATCCTTCATATTATTGTTAAATCAGAGGCGATTTGGGGAGTCTGATGTCCAGTCAACAACACACACAAAGAAGTCTTTGTAGTGGAAATAGTATTACCAGGGGTGGGGAGACTAATAGAGACTTAACTAATTCCTCATTCTCGTTAAAGTAGAGGCCAGGTTGTGAACATGGGTTGTTGATTACAGGAAGCACATCAGTTTGGCCCCTAGCTAGAAACTTTTCCAGAGTGTATCTACCAGATAGGCACTCAGCCAAGCCTCAGATATTGTGGAAGCAGATTGTTGACACCATGAAGTCACCATACTTGTGTGGAAAAAAGCAAACTCAGTGAGTCATACATTAGCTATAGCAGGGAATGTTCTGAGTTAACTGCTTTTCAACAATATCCAGCTCGACAACACTCCCTGGGTTACTTTAATTCATTTTCAGTGTCATAGTTGTAAGGTAGCTATTGTTTCACATGTTGGGGTTTGGCTCTTCCGTCTATAACGAACACAGCACTCACAAAATAGTCTTGCTCAAGCAGCAACACACCAATAAAAGCACAATTAGCAATCAACATTGAGTCATTCGCTAATGCCTGACTAGCTTTGTTTTGGATGCTTTGCAGGTGCTGCTGGTAAGCAGTAGTCGACATCCTGACAAGTGGATAGTTCCTGGAGGGGGAATGGAGCCTGAGGAGGAGCCCAATGTTGCTGCTGCTCGAGAAGTGTGTGAAGAGGTTAGTTCTTTAACTGTTTTTCAAGATAAATGTATCTAAATTAAGGCTATTTTGTGGCCAATTTTCTTTCTTTGATACTGTTCCTATATATACTGTGCTCAGGCCAACTTTATTTGATCCTTGTATCTGTGAAACATACCTTTTAATAGACTTCCTAGAGTTCATAGCCAGGAATATTGTTCCGGGAATGGACTCCCTATTTCAATTCGTAAATGTAGTTTGCGTGTAAGCACACAAGATGTATTGTATTTCATTTCATCCTTTCTGTATTTAACACAGGGCCTAATACCTTGCTCTCAAAGTCCATTTTGTCAGTGCAGTCATCCTGTTTGCATGGACAGAGAGACAGAGCCTAGCAACATCTAAGCTGTATCCTCGCATCGTGTTACAAAGCAGTGTTTATGTGTCAAAGGAGGTCACAGTGAGATTGAACACTGGCTGCCCAGCGGTTTTACTGCAGCACTATCAAATCCCATAAAGTAGAGCAAATAAAAACAATCTGCTTTTTGTTCTTGTTTGTTTTGGACAGTTCTATTTTTGCAACAGCAGCCTTGTTACCGATGCAGTTTGAAGGGCAAAATGCATCTATTATTGTTTGTCTGTGCTTCGCAGGATAGGTAGAAATTGGTAAACAGCTCTGAAGCTCATTGGAAATCAATAAAATTGCTTATACCTCTTGCGTCCGTCCCTTAAATCATGTATACCCTTGTGGTCAATTGTGTAAATCGCGTAGGCATTTTGATCAGAATGGCTGAAAGGGGAGTAAAGATGACACAGAATCTCACTTGGCTGTCAGCTCTTGGCATGGCACTGACCATATAAAGCGGATTTCTCTTGTGTGAGATCCATCACACTGATAGATGTTGCCGATATCATCCCTTATCCTGGTTGTTGCTCTTTGATATCTTCAACACATTTCCACAGGGTCACAAGCACTGTCGTATCACAACTGATGTTTGTTAAAAGTGCTAAAAGGCCCCATTCAGAAACATTGTGGTGACTTTGAATGGTACTCAATGCATCACCACGTCTTGTGGCTTTCTAAGCTTCTTATTGAACGGTGGTGTAACAGGACATATCCTAATCCTGACAAGCTTCTTCTGATGACCATATGAGCAGTGAGAGATTGCTTATGCTTATTGGTTTGGAGCCTTGCCAGGGATTGCATTAAAGACACGGCAGTTAAAAAGGAGCAGGCCAAAGGTTGCAGAGAGTTTCTTCCTCTGTCTGACTGTTGGGGAACTCTCTGTAGTCATACGCTCTGCATCAAGAAGACTGTGGACTGTGTTGCACAACTTGTGAAGCCTCAATGCTGTGCATCCTCTCCCAACATGTAGCACAGTAGTTTTCAGTTACAAGAACTATAGTTGGGAGATATTTTCCATCTCAAAACATACAGGTTGACGTTTGGCCTATTACTTAAACCCTGGCACATCTCTGTGGTTCCTAGTGGTGAGCTTGTTCTTTTTACACATGGTCTTGCTGAAGGCCTGAAGAGACCAACTCCTGAGTCCACAGCACAGTAAGTGCAACATTTATTTTTAGACTGAAACTGGAACCTGGAGAAGATGCTGCCAAGATGTCAGCAAGTGGCCGGGCTCTGTATCTAAACCTGACCTACTAGTATCCACCTCTGGGAGTAAAGATCTACCGTGGAGATTATTTAGTTTTCAGAATATGTAACAAGAAAAGGCACGAGGAACGTTGTCATCTTTACGAAAGGTTGTGACATTGAGATGGCTTGGGCGTTTTGAGTTATAGGAAGAGTAGCAGCTTGTGACAGCAAAGCAGTTGTTCTGTTGGTTTTTAGTGACCTTTACACACAATCTTTGATGGTACTCAAAACATCTTGTTGAGCAGCCGTCAGATTGTGAACAGAGGTGTTTACAGCTGTATCATTTAGAACTGCAAATATTACTGGAATAACATGAACTCTATTTTAGTAATATCTCAACATTTTTAACTCGTGTAATGCTTGACACTGCTGCTGGAACAAAATCATTTCCCAATTTTGGGATAAATAAAGTATCTATCTAAAAAAAAAAAATGCCTTTGCTGGGTCCTGCTTCTTAGGATGTGACAATTAGCTTTTTTTCTCCGTTTTGCATAGTTGTTTGTTTAATGGCTTTAGGTTTGTACTGCTGGTTTGACAAAACAATACGTCAGGCTAGGAAACAGGACATTGTTGCATATTGGGCATATTCCCCCTTTTCAAACATTTTTTTAGACCAAATGAATAAAATAAAAAACTGGCAGATTAAAACCCAGATTTCCAACTAGCTCCTTGTGACTCCGAATGTCTGTCCAGAGCTTAGACTGCCAGTGTATGACTTACTGTTGCACTGAACTGTGGAATGAATGAAGAAAGAATCAGTACATGCAAGACATGACTTGAGGATTTGGTTCAATGTGTTACACGGCAGATTTAGCAACAACCCAGGAATTAGATGGAATTAATTTTCAGAGGACAAAACAATCTTATGATGTAATGTAATCCACTTCAACACAATCAGCTTCTGAATAACAATCTGAACCAACGTTATAAAGTTCAAACATGCAGTGTGCATTGTCAGGCTGATAATATCATTCTAAAGTACATGTGTGATGTTTTCTAACCCTCTTCTGTATATCAGACCTGGAGGGTGTTTATCTGCTAACCATTTTAATAATCCTTTTTTTTTTCTTTTTTTTTTACAGGCCGGTGTAAAGGGGACTTTAGGGCGCTTAGTTGGAGTATTTGAGGTGAGGTTTGTTTACCCACCATTTATTTTTGTAGTATTCAAATGTCAACATGCTGTGCATCATGTTTGGGAGTAAGAACATGCTGTTTATTCCCCCACAGAACCAGGAGAGGAAACACAGGACCTACGTCTACGTTCTTATTGTAACAGAGCACCTGGAGGACTGGGAGGACTCGGTCAACATTGGTAAATCACCGCATTTGTTTACTAGTCAAGAAACAGGGATCATACGGACAAAGTTCTCAGTCAGTCACATGCTGTCTGTAGCCCAGGCCTTGGTGATATTACAGTTCTGGGAGGGAGGGTTTATAACACAAGCTTTGTTTCTGCCCTTGTGATTTTCACTATTCACTCTGCGAACATACTGATAATAACTCAAATCTTTTCATAATGAGTTTTTTTGTCTTCTTGTGTCTTCTCTCACATGTTCTAACTCGTCCCACAATGGTGTCTTGTTTTGTTTACAGGGAGAAAAAGGGAATGGTTTAAAATAGACGATGCAATACGAGTGTTGCAGTGTCACAAGCCCGTGCAGGCCACCTACTTCGAGGCTTTCCAGGAGAGTTGCCTGACCAGTAATGGAACGCCTTTGGTGACCACGATAGGCGGGGACCTGTCCCCTACCTACAGCATCAATCAGAGCTCGGTCTCGGGTATCAGATAACTAAAACCATAACTGACACCTCCGGGAGCTTTCGCCACCACTTGCGCTCTTACTCGTGTCATTTTCTCTTCTATTCCTCTCTCTCTTCTCTTCTCTTCTGTCTCAATAACATGGTTTGCCTTGCCAACTCCTTTGTGCCAGCACTGTGGCACAGACTTGATGACAAGTGTCGGGTGAATAGTCTGAAACACTTTGTAAATGTAAATGTAATTTTTGAACCCCTATTTTTTTTTTTTTCTCTCTCTTTTTACTGAAAACTGCATGAAATGTCCCCTGATCCTCTTTCCTTAACGCGCCCTTAGCGTGGTGTTAATTGAATGCAAGAACTACTTTTTACTGTTTGTAATGTAAAAGTGTATACGTAGTGCTTAAGCTGAAGGCTTTTGGTGGTCTTTTTAAAAGTCTCCTCCATCTTTTCAGTTCTGTTTCTTTTGAATGAATGTGCCCATTAGTGTACTCCCTCCCTGTGAATAAGGATAGGAAGTGTTGTCTGTATCTGAATGAACAGAATTGTTGGAAGTGACTTGTCTTGCATGAGCACTGTAATGTTGTGTCTCGCTCGCTCGAGAGACCTGATGCTGACTGTAACAGACGTGTGGTAAGGTCTTCTTGGATTTCTCTTCATTTAGCTCCTTATCGTGGTTATCGATGTCTCTTATTGGTAGGATACGGCCCCTCGCTAGTTTTTCCAATTTCAACTGTCATGTGTGTTTCTCTCATATTTGGGAAGCTAGCCAAGCACTACAGGTTTCACTCTCCAACAGAGCAAATACTGTAACGAGAGAAAGAATGTCAACATACAATGTCAAATGAACCACCTTCTCCTCAGTGTCTTCACCTCCTTTTTAATCCCTTTTTCTTTTTTAAACTTCTTTCTCGGGACTGACTGAAGTCTTCCTCCACATACTGAGAGGTAGTAGGTTTAAAAAAAATCATGGACTTGTAATTTCAAAATGCAGCACATATCACTTAAGTTATTTAAACCATTTCCATATGTTGCCCCTCACATTCAGTTTGGTTCAAAGCAATTGTTTACACTGTCCAGAACGGCACAGGTGACTCATTATGGTCATGATTTTCCCTTTTTCTTTCTCCCCTACCCTTTTTTTAGTATTTAATCTGCATCCCCAAAACACTCAAAACACCTGCTTGACATCAAGAGTAATGGAATCTATAATGCTGATGCAGAACAAACAAGCCTTGTACAGTTTGAGACCTCGTTTTTAACATGTAAAATGCTTTTGGATACTAGTTTTTGTTTTTTTATGTTTTTCTCTCTAACGTCTGGCAAAAGTCTCTCTGGCCGAGCTGCGTCACTCGATGTGGCCTGAGGCAGCCGGCTCAATACTGTGAAACTGGAGGCGCTGTAGATAGCATGTTAGAGGTTTTTATTGTAAATTGTTTATTTCTGTATAGATCAAAGGTGAGAGTACAAATGACTAAACACCTCTTTCACATCTGTGAGTCTCACATTTCAATCGAGGCAGGAAAACTGATTGAACTCATGGCTTTGGAGCTGGAATTAGTTTTAGAGATAGCTCAGAGTACATCTGAGGCTACAGGACAAGGCATGTGGTTGTTGGTGAGAAGGAAGAGCCAATTTCATATTGAATTCTTTCAAAATCCTTAATTTAGTTTGGACTAAAACACATTTGTCACACTTAAGGAAAGCTGTTCTATGGCCAAGCTGAAGCCTGAGAATCCAAATCACTTTATAAATTAGAAGTAAAGAAGATTTACTCTGTTAGCTGTTAATCTATCCCAGGTCAGTGTGTTTACTCATGAAGGGTTTACAGGGTCTTTCTCTAAACCTTTGACAGGATGCTGGGGTTTTCTGCCCATTATTTAAATCTGTTATTAAAGATTATTTGGACACTCGGTAGCAGCAGAAATCTGTAAACATCCACATATCCGTTTATTTATTTTTTCTCTGTGTCTATCTGATAATCCAATGTTGACTTCTCTTTTAAGATCCATTTTTCCACCAGTGTCAACTCAATGATTACATTGTCTGCACTCAAACTGCAGCAGTGATCAGGTTTTATAATGCTATGACTCATGGGAGCAGCTCCGTTATACAATGTCAACAAAATAAACTAAATGGTTTGAAAAGAAGACATCATTTATTGATACCAAGCGGAAATTAAATGTCCTCTACGCTAAGCAGATGCATATTTAACATTGAATGTGGGCAGAAAACTCCAGTATCATGATTTAATCAAAAACACATCAAAGAAATCCCACAGGAGAAATGTAAAGACCTGAAAACTAGTGGATGAAAAGCTCAAATAGACATCTCTTAGCAGGATGGTGGTGGTGTCTTATTCATGGAATTTCCTCCAGTAATGTGGGGGCGCCACCCTGCAAGCTTCTGATCCCTTTGGTGTCTGAAGGAAAACGCTTCCTGACTGACAGTACATGTGGAAGGAGTCTAAAGTCTCCTAACAGAAGGAGACTTTGAACTGTGTTATTGCTGTGCACCAGGAAGGTGTGTTGTCCAAAGTCTTGCTTTATGAGAGTTGCATCAAGAGTTCCTGTTTTCAGTCTTCATTGAAATGTGCAAATGGTTGTCAAGGGGATAAACCTGTATATGGCTTTTTAAAAAGAAATCTAAAACCTTTCTCTGATTGATTGAATTTGCTCTTGGTGGTTGGATGCGGGTGACAGGTACTGTCAAAATGAATGTGAGGAGGACTTCCACAGTAACAGCCAGTGACTCAATTATTAATGACCACTTGATCCATCATTTTCAGTTTTTCTTTAACCTGTTGTGCAATTGTCAAACAAATATCTGTATATAGGTAACAGTACCGTTTCAGCCAGAGGACGCACCATGGCTTCGGTCAGTAATGATTAGTATTTTTTTTTTTTACAATTCCCTTCTCACTCAAAATTCAAGCACTTCCTGTCATAGGTAATGTGATTTGGGCCAGGGTTCAGGAGGACATCTATGAAGTACATGTCTCCATATAAGCACGTTGGAGTTAATGTGGTGTTAATGCGTTACTCCAGGGAGATTTCGATCACAATTGGCTCCTTTTTGTGACATTTAAGCTTCTAAACATTTGAGGGGAAAGGAGACAATGAATTATCAACGATTAGAGCTTAAGATAAGTCACTTCCTTTTAATTGACCAAAGTTAAAGGTTTGAATATGTATTGCCCCATCTTGTGGCGAAAGCAAAACATATTAAAAGCACATCACTGCAGCTGATTGTAACAGTTTCCTTTAGCATTGTGGTCATTCTCCAAACTATGAACAATCAGACATTGATTCATAAAAGCTGTCTTTTTAAAGGTTACCCTAAATACTAGTACATTGATAAACAAAGCAAACACACGTGCACCTGACCTCAGCCTTGAAGTTACCTACTTGTCATTTTGATCTCCTCTCCAAGGTATACGTGTCACTGGAACTTTTCTTTTCCTCTTTTGTCATTTGGGACTGTGGAATAAAACCAGTGCGAGAAGACTGAAGATTGTAATATAAATGTGCCAACAAATAAACACCAGTATTTCACATTCAGGCTGGCTTCAATGTTTGTGTCCATGTCTTTACAAATGTTTGATGCGTGTGCTTGCAGTACTTTACGGAAGAGTACAACAAGGTAAGAGTTGTGTATTAGGCTTGCTTACTGGGATTTTTATGCACCACTTCTCTCAATCCGTATTGCTATACATACTTATCTTTACAGTTTATTTTTGCGATGAGACAGAACGTGTTTGTACAGACAGGAAATTATTCAATGAGCACTGTTAGAAAACCACTGAGTTATTTCCAACGGTAAAGCTGATCGTCTACATAAAATGTGACTTTAACATTTGTAAAGCTTTGGTTAGAGGCCCCAACTTGGTCCCAAAAGGTAAGATACTGATTTGAAGTAGGCTTAAGCAGTGAATGTTATTGAGTGCAGTGTTGTCTACCACAATGCAGAATGGAGAAGCTGTTCAGAGCTGGAAAAGCTTTACACTGATTGTGCTTCGACAGCTCCAGAATCACAACAGAAAACTATTGCATATTTTGGAAAAACCTGTTTCACTTTCTGTTCTCTGAATCAGCAATTTGATTCTTAGTTTGCAGGATAATTATGTTCTTTTATAAAAACTACCAAAACGGTTCTATCAGAATGAGTATGAACAATACATATGCTGAAGCCTAGTAGGCAACAGACATTTTGAACAATAAAGACAAGCTTTTTAACTCCCTTGTGTACCACTTATGAATGACCAAAGAATTACAGCGATATTTTACAATAATGATTGAGTCGGATTTATTTTTGCTCTCTACTAAATGACATCCTGCTGACTAACTTTCCTCTGCTCAGCAAAACACAACATCTGAATGTTTGGAAACCAGCTCTTCAGTTTTAAAATCCATCAGCTACCACAATCCTGAATAACACAATACGGACACAGACAGGTTGTATTTTGATTTTCTTTATTGTACAGAAAGAGACGGTGAAAATTACTGAGGAGGCTGTCCTCTGCCGCGCCCGAAGCCACCTCTCTGCAAAGGGAAACAATGTTGTCAATACAAGTGTCAAACCAAATCCGACAGAACAAAGTTGTATTACTGCACTAAAACTAAATCCAGCTCCCCATAAAATAACTGCACCAACAAGCTGGCTGACTGATTGCTATAGAAAACGTTCCTAATATGCCATAACAGGAAATACATTATTCAAAATCAAAGGTTTGCTTGTATGCAGATAGAGATGCACAGAAAGGACTTCTCCCAGGGGGTAAATGTGTTCTGTACTTACGAACTGGAATTCTGTGGCAGCTCCTGCACCGGCCTCTGCTTTCTTGTCAGCACCAGCTGATGGAGAAGTAACGAATGAACAGTCAGCCATAAACATTTATATCTTTCACCTTAGCCATCACAAACTAATATTACGCACAATGAGAACCCTTACGTACATCTTAAATGTATATTGTTGTAATACTTTGCTTACAAAAGACGTTACTGGTTTCAGTCTTAAGAATCAATTGCTGAAGTTACACAAAAACTAGCTCAAGTGTCCATTTCTATTTGCCTTCAAGAATTTCTGCTGCTCATTTCAAAGAGTTGCTAGGAGTGTACTTACGGGGTGCAGCAGATCGCCTGTATGTATCTCTGTCAGCCTCTCCGCTGCGGTTAAGGCGGGCGGGCCTCTCTCCTTCCATTCCTGCAGAAATAAAAAAGGAAAATCAGATTAGGTTCAGGACATTTGACTGCACACCCAAGGAAATTGAGTCCACTTTAGAGCGGGAGATGTGTGCTGTGTCGGAACCGCATTTATACAAATGTTGTGTCAGGGACCCCTTCACAAGCAGAATATTCATGACCAATTTAAAAAGATACTTTTACACTTGGGTGGGAAACATAATCCCAGAATGGACCGTTGTTGCAAGAAATCCCAATCATCCTGCACTTAAACTCCAAAACTAGGGAACATTTGTGATGGCAAATATAATAGTTAAAATATTGCTCTGAAAATGCTCTTTATAAGTGAAACCCATTCTGCCAGTAAGAGATTTTAGAGCAGTGTTTCAAACAGTAATGCGATGTCTATGACACCTCTGTCTGCTCTTGAGTTGATGTCCAATGCAACTACAAAGCAAGTTACAAAGGGACACTTGTTGTATGTTAAGTTTGAGCCTAATCAGCTACACATGTAATTGTTTGAATTCTTGTTAAGTGCCCCACCCGTTCCCTCCTCTAACAACAACCCTACTATTTCAGCTAAAACATACAGAAAAGTCCCTGTCATCGGAACAGAGACTCCACGTCAGTGTAGAGACGCAGTGATGTGGTATTTCAGGGCAGACCTCTCATAAGGATTACCATTTATGTTAGGAGACCTGAATAACTATAATAAGAGTCGGCTTCTTAATATGTTGCTCACCACATTTCTGTTTTAAATCAAAGATTCAGCGCTATAATCTGACATTTGTACTTATGAAGCGACGATGATTATTTGGCTTGCGATTTCCGTATAACCCCTTCATACTAAGTTAGCAGAACATTCTATTGAAACTTGATTGGTTGCATTTCCTAAACTTTATAATAAAATGTTTAAAAGTAATGACCGGTCACATAAGGTTAATAAAAACAGTTGGAAATGTCAGAGTTGCTGAACACTGAGCCATGGCCTTTCGACTGCACAATGTTAATCTCTCAGGAATGCTTCCACTCAGCAGATTTACATTAAAGGCTAATGACTTGTGGTTTTTGTTATTCAGCTTCCAAAATGTAGAGGCAGTGTGCAATTAATGTGATTCACTTTGAAAACTAATAACAAAATACTTATAGTAATGATATTTGCCAATACGAGCTTAACAAAAGCAACATAAATAGTGATCACGGCCCAGTATTCCACAACGCAATTTTGAAAAGACCGTTAAAACAAAATCGAGCAACATTGTTCCAGGGAGCTTACCCTTGGGCCTGGGCCTTGCGGTCTCAGGGCGAGTCTGGCGGCGCAGAGTGGCGGGCACGATCTCTGGGGGCAGGTGGAGGAAGTCTCTCAGGTACTGGATACCCTCGTTGGTGAGGTACCAGTAGAAATGACGCCAGGCAAATTGCTCCTTGACGTACCCACAGGACTTCAAGGACTGGAGGAAAAACACAAACAAAGTGAGTTTCATGCAACTCTTCTACTGTTAATACTATATATACACCAAGTCCATCCTTTCAGGCAATGTGTCCTTAACCTCTCATTTTCCTGCTTGCATGTCTTTTCTCATCCCTTCTCACCGTGCAAACCAACTGTTTCTAACAAATAGCTTAAGTGAAATACCCTTAGAAAGACAGTAACCATTTCTTTACAAAGGTGATTCTCATTAAGTTCTGTAGTGCGAGTAAAATAAGTTAAACTTGGACCAAACGGCCAGAGTTTTAGCAACAACACACACGACTCCACTAACACTTGAGCGTCACCCTTTCTCTATCCATTTAGAAAAACATTGGACTTTTACCCTTCACGGTTTATTACTTTAATTATTGCGCACATTTAAATCTTAGCAGCCACGCGAGCATATAAACACGCTTGCATTTGTATTACTCTAGTTAATTCAGGCTACTTTAGCTCCATACAACATGTTTCCCTCTTATCCATGTGCATGCCATCAGAAGTCACAATGACTCCTAACCCCAGTTGTACCCCTCATGTTTTAGCATACACTGAGTGCAGTGTATTTTTGAAAATGATAAACCAGTGAATTTGACTAAACCAGAGAGTGGTGTTTAAAGATTTGCAGTGGTTCTGTTGGCATTTTAAAGAGAAACAAATGGTGAAGCAAACATATACAGACAAATAAGGGGCACAAAGGAGGTTCTAGAAAATTAAAACCAGAGCCTTAAGTATAAAAACCATGTACATGTTGCTCGATATTTTACAATCTCAAACCTAGTTAAGTGTAAGTGCAAAGCTTAATTCAGCATCATGACACTGGTCATTGAGTGCTACCCAGATAAGGCCTACACTTGTGTGACCTAGGCTGGACGAGAAACTAACCACTGCTTGTTTACAGAGCTTGAGTCAGACTATTTTGACATAAATATACAAACTTTTACAACGTCAGTATTCAACCTCCATCCCCCGGTTTCTTACCTGCATCGCTTTCATCACATGAAGGTTGGGCACGTTCTTGTCAGCGAGCTCCGGATGCTTGGGCAAGTGGACATCTTTCTTAGCCACCATGACTCCCTCCTTGAAGAGGAGCTCATAGATAGCAATGCGATTCTTCTTGGGCATCAGCATCTGTTCAGAGGGACATATTTATGCATCAGTATCCATTCCCACACTTTACAGACAGCGTGCAGTAGCTTCCAGTGTGATAGCATGTAAACTGGCTAGCATGTTAGCCACTTAGCTGCACGAACAGATCTAGTGAAAAGCAGCAGTAAGCCGACATACAAACGATTTATTTAATCAATGATATACGTTATTTTATGGTGTTCAAATCACTATTCACACAGTGTAATACACATTAACGTTGACTAAGGCGCCCCGCGTTAACAGAGAAAAATGGCAGCCGGTCGTGAACATCAGTCCTGGGTCACTTCCCAACTTCTAAGTCTAATATCCACGACTGGAAAGCGTTTAACACTAAAATACGTTCAGATATTGTATTGTCACATTAACAACAATCGAATATCCAACATTATAGTTTTATGGAAGATGAGATGTTTAAGATATATTTAGATTACTACGCCGGGTCTGTCTTTACCTTTCCACTTGATAGGGGACCGGAGCCGGAAGGAACGACGGATGTGGATCAGGGAGGTTTATCCTCTCTCCGGGCCTGGTGGAGGAGCGCGGCCCCCTGGTGGAGCGGAGGGGAACAGCAGTACTCATGGTGAGCATTGACTGCATTGATTTAGATATAAATACCTTTATATATACAGTCTATGATAAATACACATATTTATAGAATTATTATAAGGGTTTTAAAATGTTGTAATCACGAAGATGATAGTAATAATACTTGTAATAATTGGAAATCAAACAGTTTGCTGAAACGTATAAAAAATACTTTTTT